CCTTTTAGGGGATCCCATTGGCTTTTGGGTGCCCTGGGAGAGCTCTGTGCCCTGGGAATGCCACCACGATCCGTGGCTTTTGGGTGCCCCGGGAGAGCTCTGTTCCCTGGGAATGCCACCGCGATCCTCAGCTTTTGGGTGCCCTGGGAGAGCTCTGTGCCCTGGGAATGCCACCACGATCCGTGGCTTTTGGGTGCCCCGGGAGAGCTCTGTGCCCCGGGAATCCCGCCTCCGTGGGTGCCGGGCCGTTGGTTACGGGTGTATCCCTCGGCGATCCGAGGCGCAGGGTCGCCTCTCACCGCTCTCCCCCCGGTCGCAGGCGAGCCGTCAGGCGCCAAGCCATCCGGCATCCCACCAAAATCGACAAGGACAAGGGGCCCACCAAAGCCACCACCACCAAGCTGGTGTACCTCATCTTCGACACCTTCTTCTCGGAGCAGATCGAGAAGGACGAGAGGGAAGACGACAAGGAGAACGCCATGAAGCGCCGGCGCTGCGGCGTCTGCGAGGTAACGGGGGGGGCTGGCGTGGAGCCCGAGGGACTCGATCCCGTCCTCTGTCCCCTCCATCCTACTTGAATCCTTCTGGGATCGCTCCGTTGGGGCAGAGGAGCGATTTCCTCAGGCCACCAAGCTCCTCCTGGTCCCTTTTCCTCCTGCCTGGGACATCTCTGTGGCATCTACCGGTGCTCAGCTCATCCCCTCTCCCTGCTCCAGGTCTGCCAGCAGCCGGAATGCGGCAAGTGCAAGGCTTGCCAGAACATGGTGAAGTTCGGCGGCAGCGGACGGAGCAAGCAGGCTTGTTTGCAGAGGAGGTGCGTCTCCCCCGGCACCAGTTCCTCCTGCCAAAATCCTCTCCGCCTCCGGAGAGGGAGGCCGTGGTCCCCGCTCCGTGCCCTGCTCCAGCATCCGTCCCTGTGTTCCCAGGTGTCCCAACTTGGCCGTCCGGGAAGCCGATGAGGACGAGGAGGTGGATGACAACATCCCCGAGATGCCGTCGCCCAAGAAGATGCTGCAGGGCAGGAAGAAGAAGCAGAACAAGAGCCGGATCTCCTGGGTGGGGGAACCCGTCAAGGTGAGGCTGGGCAAGACCCCGCTCCCCTCCGGCTTCCCGGCGTCGAGGTCTAACGGTGCTCTCCGACCGCATCCGCAGAGCGATGGGAAGAAGGACTATTACCAGAGGGTCTGCATCGACTCGGA